AGAGAGAGAGAGAGAGAGAGAGAGAGAGAGAGAGAGAGAGAGAGAGAGAGAGAGAGAGAGAGAGAGAGAGAGAATGAATCAGAGAGCGAGAGAGAATGAATCAGAGAGCAAGAGAGAATGAATCAAACCTTGGATTAAATGTGAACTTCAATAGGTGGGAGAGAAGTGTCCTGAACAATCGTAATCCCTGCAGCATGCAAACGACATCCACAACGACATCCACAAACATTCGGCGAATGAAGCACCTGGACTCAATGACTGATCTCCATAAACACAGAGTCAGCAACTTGCTGTAGGAATGTTCAGATTCAAAGCACTTGGGCACAGAGAATGGGTGTTGGCACAATCAACAAGCAACGAATCAACCTTTCGATCCTCTTTTTTTTCCCCTTAAAAAGGTCCAGGGTGTAGTAGAGGGTGGATGCCAGGCCTCAGGAGGTGTCCATAGTACTCATCCATTGGGAGGTCAGATGGATTGTGAGGACCCAGGGGGATGGAGTCACCTCAAGGTGGCACCATGATGCCATGACCCATATGCTAATACTCAGATCGCAAGTCGTGATCTGTACCAACGCTTACCAGACTGACCCGAACGTCTTCGTGCAGATACTACCCTAACCCTAATGTTAAGGACGACCCGGGCACAGGTGGGGTCCACGTATATACGGGCATCCCCCATCTGTGCCTCATCCCGCAGACTCTATGGGCAGCGAACCAACCCTTCTACTAAGATGCGATATTTCCTACGCAAGGCTCCCCAAGGATCCCCCAATGAGAAATCCCACGGTCACCAACCTGGATGAAGCACCACCCACAGGCATCGTGAGATACCCACGGGATGAAGAAGTGCCCAGCCCCTACCCCGTACTAACACCCAGTGTGTTGTTTTAAAAGGCTCCAGATTCTCTCTCTCATTCCCTTCACAAATCATCACAAGCCATCCATAACGAAAAAGTCCAGATAAGGAATATAATGGAAAATGCAAGGTTGGCCACGTTTGTGTGGTTCAGCGCCAAGTGCCCACACACCCGTCTGCCGCCAAAGTGGCACACTTGCACATATACATATGTATACAATGCTATACATGTATATTTCAAACCATAAGGGGATGGAAGGCAGAAGGCAACTTACCTAAGACGGAAGCGTAGGATTATCCCCCCCAAGATGGGTCCTACTGTAGTCTAAGTTCACTCTGTGTGGACTCTCGTACGGGTGCCATAGTGACGCGAAACGTACAAGCCGTACCCAGGCTCCACCATGGTACCCCCACGGACTACTACAGACTGGCAAAGCTGACAGATTGGAGGGTCCAAGTGGCCACGCAGAGGCATCAGGTTCCCCATAGTTCTATAGAGGGCCAAGGGGCCTATCAATGACTCTATTGTTATTATAGTTATCAATGGTCTAGGCGGTAAACTCTCCCCTTAATCTACCCTTTACCCCCCGCCCCCCCCCCCATGGCGGTGACAAGATAAGACCCCGATCATCAGACCCCCCTAAGACCAAGCATACGTGCAGCCCTCCCGTGGCCCTATCCAGCATACTACAACCATGGACCTAGACCCCTTGGGCGGTGGCTTGTGCGCTATGAAAGCGCTGCCGGTGTACGTGCACGAGGCAGCGGAGTTTTGAACCCGGTGTATGTGCACAAGGCAACGGAGTTTTGAACCTGCAACCTCATACCACAATGCGCATTTCCAACCGGTGCTCTAACCACTGAGCCACCAGCCATTCACTCGATCCTCTTTCCTACAAGACTACAAATTATTTTCCTGACTTGCAAGATGGTTAACGCCTAACTTCACCGTATCGGGGTTCAGCTCCAGGGAACGTTTTTTTTTTTTTTTTTTTTTTTTTTCCCTCTTGATCTACATCTGCTGCAAATCAGCCAACCACATATGCATTATGATGTTTGCAGATTCAGTACAACAACTACCCACTAGGATAGCGCTAAAAGTCAACCTTCAATTGTTGAAACCCAAGGTGTTTTAAATTTTAATTGCATTTGACTTGGAACAAATTTATATTCTTTTATAAACTCACTTCTTAATAAGTTTAAATAACTAAATAAATTTATTAAACAAAGTAGTTCGAAGTTAGAACTTAGAAATTTAATAAGCTAAGCCCATACTTCGAGTTGTTTCAGATCCAAGATGCTATGTTGCACGTAGGCCGTGGCCTGGTTCGGCCACGGCCGAGGCCGCCCGGCCGAGGCCG